GTGAATATGCAGATCTGGAGCTGGCCACTAAGTCCCTACGACGGGAATAGATTCAGAGAGGACAGAGCTCAGCGGAGGCCACACAGCGCGTCCACCCACCAGGAACAGGCCCTTCCAGTCCCGCCGGCCTGCCGGTTCCTGGACACAATTCTGAGGTCAGCTCCGAGCCCACAGCCCGGGCGGAGGCGTTTTTGCGCCCCTCGACACAGACACGTCCCTCCAAAGCCGGGGCCATGCCCTGCATCCAGGCCTCTTCTGGCACGGGATGCTCGTGAGGACGGGGACCCCGCGTGAGCGTGGAGGTCCAGGGTTTGGAGAAGGTACTGGTGGTCGTGGTCCCGCCGCTCACCAGGTGCCGCCCTTTCTCCTCGTCCCTCGGCCTTGAACCCACGCCTTCTGCGGGCCTTGGCCCCGCCCCTTTCCTACTCCCTGGAGGCTTGGGGTCCTTCAGCCCCGCCTCCCTCCCTGACCCCGCCCCCAGCCGCGCCTCTCGCCCTGTCCCCACCCGCTCGGTCCTGCAGCCCCCGCTCCCCGCGCTCGGCGGAGGCAGGTCTCGGTGCCACCTGCTGGGCTGACCGCAGACGCTCCGGAGATAGACTTTCGCCTGCCCCGGAGTCATCTTCTGCATCACAGATTCTCTGCAGCTCAGGGGAGGGAGAAGATGTTCAGAGGCCCTCTGGGTCCCGGGACCCCTGTAGCGTTGCCTGGGCAGCTTCCCTGCCCCGAGTCCCGGGAAAGAGCGTGGGCCGGGAGCTGGGACATCTGTGTCTTCCCCGCTCCTCCCCGACCCTCCCTCCGCGGGACCCTGGGCAGTCGTTCCTACCCCACCGCCACCTCCACCCCCGGGTCCGGACCAGGCAGCTGGGGAGCAGGCACAGAGTGGAGAGAGGGCAGACTTCAGTCCCCGGTGAAGAAGAATGTGGCCTGAGCCACGCAAAAAAGAACAAATGGGAGTGACCTCCCACTCTGTGCCCAGAGGAGTGCCAGAGGGGTCTGATGAGACACTAAATGGTGGGGCTGGAGAAGCGCTCGGGGTTCCCTGAGGACGGATGACCCCCATGTGTTGAGAGGCAGGCACGAGCACAGGAAAGGTTCTGGCACAGCCCCACCGGGCACTCTGAGGCCAGGGCAAGCCCCGTCTCCATTTCCCCCCCTCCCCCGCTTCCCCCCTCCACGCCCTGCTCTTGACCCTTTTGCGCCCTCTCCTCTGCACCTTTGCACACAGTCCCCTGGGCCAGGAATGCTTGTTCTCTGCTCTGTTCCAGCAGGAAAACTGGGCAAGACTCAGGGCATAATTCCTACTGTCCAAAGCAGTCCCTAGATGCTGGATCAGCCAACCCCCTGGCAGGGATCGCCCTGTCCTGTCATTGCGCCCCGCTCCATCTCTCCCACTGGACCAGGACCTAATGGCAGGGCCTGAGGCTGACCTCCAAGCATTGCCCAGAATGGCCCTGGCCCGGAGCAGGTGTGTTCCGATCTGGTGTGATCAATGGGGCAGTAAACAAATGGATGAGTGGGAGGAGAGCTAACTGCGGAGACTGGAGCCTCAGACCAGCTCTGGGAAACTCACTTTCCAGAGGAATTTCCGCGGGTTGGTGACTCTGGGCAAGAAGTGTCTGCATCCCAGGGAAAGAAGGTGGAGGCACTCCAGGGTGAAGACCCTACCACTTGCCACATGACCTCTTTAATCCCTGAAAGCTGCTTGGCCCTTGGGCTCCATTTTGAAGATGAGGAGGCAGGCTCAGAGAGATGCCACCAGCTTCTAAAGGGAAGGGCTGTGTGAGGCCATCCTTGCTGAGACAGCGGGAGGTAAGGGGTCAGGTCTTTCCTCCCTGGCCTCCCCAGCTGGGCCTCCCCACCCCCACCCTGAGCCCAGGGCCCAGGGCTGCTGGGCAGGAAGTGAAAGGTGCCTGCAGGAAGCCCCAGGAGGAACTGAGACTTGAGCCAGCCCCTCCTCCACCTGCCCAGGCCCTGGGGACCTCAGGGAAACCAGACCCTCCTTCAGGAAAAACTGGCCAGAAACACAGGCTGGGGGAGGGAAAGCTGCTTGCCTAGGTTCCCACCCCAACCAGCAGTTCTTCCAAAGTCTATCTTGGGTCCCTTTTACAGCAAAAAGAGACCAGTTGGGGAGAGGAATCTTTGAGGAGTGGTGAAAACAAGGGGTAAAGCCTGGAATCAATCCCTGGAGTCAGTAGCCCCCAAGGAGGGCACCTGGGCCGATGACCTTCTGGACAGACATGCTGGGTAGGGGCAGGAGCCTCTGTCTAGCCCAGCTCCACCACGGCAGGCATATTGTAGCTTGGGCCAGATCCCTGCACCTGCTGGGCCTCTTTTTTCCTATCTGCAACATGGGACATCTAATCCCTGTTCATGGACATAAACTGTTCCAGATTTTCAGGAAATCAATTCAACCAACAGGGGCCATAAAAAAACTCAGGCAAAGATTTATGTCAAGGAGGTGCTCCTGGGGCGCGTGGGTGGCTCAGTCGTTAGGTGTCTGCCTTCGGCTCAGGTCATGATCTCAGGGTCCTGGGATCGAGCCCCACATTGGGCTCCCTGCTCTGCAGGAAGCCTGCTTCTCCCTCTCCCACTCCCCCTGCTTGTGTTCCCTCTCTCTCTGTGTCTCTCTCTGTCAAATAAATAAATAAAATCTTAAAAAAAAAAAAAAAGGAGGTTCTCCTGCCTCGGCTACAATAGTAAAAGCTAAAAACAACCAAATGCTCAAGTGGAAAACTTCACAAGTGTTGAAAACCTTGTTGGCGAAGTGTTGAAAGACAAGAGAAAACTCACCAAATACAACAGCGAAGATATGAATTTATGTGTGTAGAATGATTACAATTACTCAGGAGAACCCACCCAGGATTATGGGTCATTTCTCCATAGACTCCACCCTGGGTTACTGCCCTGAACTTTCCAAAGTGTCTACAAAATATGTGTCTCAATTTTTTTTCTAATAAAAAAAACTTTTTTAAAAAGCAAACAAGGGCTGCCTGGGTGGCTCAGTCTGACTTGGGCATCTGACTTGGGCTCAGGTCAGGATCTCGGGGTCCTGGGATCGAGTCCGAGCCCCGAGTCCCGTGTGGGGTTCCCTGCTCAGGGGGGAGTCTGCTTCTCCCTCTCCCTCTGCTCCTCTCCCCCGACTCCTCCTGTCTCTCTCTCCAATGAATAAATAAAACCTTAAAAAAAAAAAAAAGCAAACAAATACCCACGCTCCTCCTCCAGGTGCTGTCATTAAGATCAAATGCAGTAACTTCATGAAGGCTTCTTAGAAAGCACTTCCTGGGATCAGAGCCAGAGACTGGAGGCCCCTGAGTGGTGGGGTCCTTTCCCGGGGGGTTAGGGGAGACTGACCCCCTCCTTGCCCACATCTCCCCCTGCCTCTGCTCCTGGTTCTTCCCTAAGGAAACTCCCTTCTGTTATTAGCTGGATGGCAAGGATGCCAAGTCTTCTCCCTCTCTGGGTCTCAGTTTCCTTATCTGTAAAATGGAGGGGTACGGACAAAGATCCTTTAAGGTTCTTTCAAGTCCTTCTCCTCCGAGGGCCACAGGTCTGGAGGATCACTTTGCATCCAACCCCCCATTTTTCAGAAATGGAAACCGAGACCAGAGGGGAAGCTGGGGTTTGGCTGGGACACAGTGGTGCCAGAGGTTTGCATGTCTGGACCCCAGAGGGGTTTTACCCACTCATTTTACCCCCAGGGCTCAGCCCCCGGCTGTGGTGGAAAAGGTGAGTGGGAGGCGGAGGTGGCCAGGAACAGCACAGACGCCCCAAACCCGAGATGAAGTGGAATGGAGGTCTGGGCCCATTCTGGGCCTGCTTCCCACCCTCCCGCCAACTGCCAGCCACCTGACCTTGCCCCAGCCACCTGGCAGCTGGCAGGGAAGGCACTCGGGATGAATTCAGGGAGGGAGTGGCTAGGAAGACTTAAATGTGGGTGTCAGGGTCCTGGGGGCTCCAGACCGTCTCCTGGGCTGAGAAGAGGGTGGGCAGGAGGGTGGGCGTCTGCCAGGCAGCTCTGCTGGGCAGGTCAGGGAGAAGTAGGCAGAAAGGCATCTAATGCATGGAACAGAACATGGCCAAGGCCCTACAGGGGACAAGATGGTACCCAAACTCCATCTTCTGACTCCTAGTCTATGTTCCTTCGGAGGTGCTAACATGTGACAAGTTCCAAGTACTGTCCAGGACAGAGTCCGGGTCACGAGGTTCTAACTCTGTGTAGGAGCGCCAGGGGAGAGGCAGCGCCTGACCCAGTATGGCATGGTCCACAACTCGAGGAGATGGTCTTGGTCCCAAGCCCCAGAGCAAGGGGCCCTGCTGTCAGAGGAGCGGTCCTACTGGGATGATGGGTGACCCCAGGGGCTTGCACAGAATGGCTAAGTGACCACAGCATTTGGGGCCTAGTGCTTCAGGAGGGCAGGCCATAGAGAGAGGGAGCTCAAGGGACATCAGGCCCAGCCGGTTCAAGGCCACAGGTCTGCTCTAGCCTCTGAACAAAGGAGCCCCTTGAAGGTCCTGGGCCTTTCCCTATGTACAGCTGAGTGAGCCTCGGAGGCAGCTGGGACTCCAGGTGGCCTCTGAGAGAGATGCTTGGCAGTGTGCCTTCAGCGCGAGCATGCAGTCCAGCCCCACAGGGGCTGTAGACTTCCTCCCAAGTGCAAGTGTGGGGCTCTGGAAGCTGCTACCAGGGTGAAAATGGCATCGTAGGTCCTAGGAGATTGGGCCAAGCTCAGGGTTGACCCTAGGGTACAGATACCTGAGAATTAGCACAATCCAGGCTCTTTGTTAAAATCAAAATCATCCTGTATTAAATCCTGAAGCAAACCAGTCAGTTGGTTACTCATTGCTGCCATTTGCATCAGTTAAAAGCAGGACAGCTCTGAGAGCAAGTATTAAAGAAATACAACACCCAGCTATAAATTAAGCATCTTCCCACTTGATCCTTTTCCTAGATTCATTCTGGTTGATGGTGGCTTCCTGGCACTTAAAGAAAAACCTCCTACGCAGGAGCACAGGAGCTCAGCCACAACCTTCGAGGGCTGCCAAAGATCGTCTGGTTTCAAGCCAAAGGCTAACATGCCATAGGACGCCATGCATGCCGTCTGAGCCCTGTGGTCTGCAGTCTGTGGTTCTGCGGGGTTAGCTGGGGAGCAGCGTGGTTCCCAGAAAAGGGGCAGGTGGGCACTGGGGTGAAGAGCCGAATCCAACCTCCAAGCCCCTGGCTGACAGCCCACAGGGAGCACAGGGGCCACCTCCTGCCCCCTCCGTGGCTACTGTTGCTCAGGGCCGGCTGTCTTGGTGGTCACCAGCTCGGTGGAGCCCAGCTCTGTGGCTGGCACGGGGACGCTGTGGGCAGGTGGGGTGTTGGCTGGGTCTTCTCTTGTTGGAGGCCAGACGGGAGTGGTGGCATCAAGGGGTCCCGGGGGGAGGATGATGACATTGTCCAGGGCCTCTGGTGGGCGGAGGTGGGGAATGCAAGGTCAGGATCCCCTTACAGCCTTTCCCCACCCCTGTTCTGGAAGCCTCACTGGAGGGACAGCCCTGGACTGAAACCCCCCTGCAGGGGTGGGTAGGGGTGGCATGGGAAGGGGCCTTGGGACAGGAAATGCAGAGGGGGCTGGCGATATGGGAAATGCGGGGGGAAGGGAGAAGCGTGGGAGCCTTGGGTCTCTTGCTCGGACAGCTCTGGGACGCTAGAGTTGTGTCCCTCCCGGGGACCGGCCCGGCCCGAGGTCCTCAGAGCCCGCCCTAGAGCCCGCGCTCCCCCACCCCCCGCCGGCCTCCCCGCGCCC